ACTGATACTGCTACTGCTGCTGCAGCTGCTAGCTGGCCACACAAAGGCTGTGCTACTGCTTGACTGAGTAGAGTGTATTCTGACCACCAGTAGGCCTACTGATCATGACCACAACTATAGATAGCATTGTGTATGTGGTTCAGTTCTGTTTTGGCAGCAGACGCATGTGGTCAGGGAAACCGCTTACGCGCGGTGCAGTGGCAGCGTCATCATTATCAGCGGTACCAGAAGCAGAAAGAGCAGTAGTAGCAGCATCAGCAGCAACAGCAGCAGCGGCGGCAGCAGTAGGAGCAGCGGCAGCGGCAGCGGCAGCAACATCATCAGCAATAGTAGTAGTAGCAGCATCATCAGCACCACCTCCACCACCACCAGCAGCAGCACGACAACCACCAGCAGCAACACCACAACCACCACCAGCAGCAGCACCACAACCACCACCAGCAGCAGTAGCAGTATAAACAGGAGCACTAATGTTCACAGTTTGACGCTAGTGCCCCCACAGCGCAGAACGTTCGGCACTGAGGTGTTGTGAGCGCGCGCGTGTGTGTATGTGTGCGAGTGTATGAGTGTGTATGTGTGCGAGTGTATGAGTGTGTATGTCACACACTGGCCCGCCCCGTGATCGATGCTAGCTCGAACAATCTCACCCAGTTCTAGAACTGTACTACAATAGCTAGGCTTGTCTGCTCGATCGTCGATGCAGTGCGATGCACATTTTCGTCTGCAGCTGTTATTCCGGAGTCAAGTTTGGGAAGTGTGAAGATAGAGAGAGAGAGAGTGTTGCATGACTTTGCTAAAGTCGTCACTAATCGTCCCGAATAGCAGTTGATACCCGCCGTTGGATTGGATTGTGTTGCCTGGACGGACCTGCAGTGCACAAGATGTGAAAGTACGTGAGTTGTCTAGCGCAAAGTAAGATTTTATCTTTCGGGCTTACATTATTTATATTTCGCGAAAGCGGTTAAGCTTGCGTTTCGTGAAAAAAAGTTACTGGTTTTTTGCAGGGTGTGTTTGTATGGAAGCGGACGAAAGAATCCGCTGTTTTCTACCGTTAGGAGGTAATTAATAGTGTTTGTTGGCACCTTCCGAAAAGGCTTGTCTTTTTTTGGGCAGTCGAGGTTGGAGGCGGTAAAGCTTATGTGGCCACGTAAAAACACTCGCCGTATTTATAAAACCTGTCTCTACCTTCACGAATAGTAGCTGTAAATTGTTGTTTGCGTTTCTCTTGTTACCGTTGGGGTAGGTCGGGATTTAAGGAATTATTTTTTACAAAAAATGGAGAGAAAGGCGTTGTCGGGTCGTAGCCGTGATAAGTTGACTTGACTTTGCTGCAGCACACCGCGTTAGAATGCAGAGTGTTTGGAAAGCCCCAATACATCTTTCATGCTCTGTTGGTCGCATCCTGGGCGAATATTTGTCAGTTCCAGACCTTCCAAAATTGCAATGGGGACCCAAGAAATATTTACATAACGAATGCGGGGCGCGTGTCGAGATGTGTTGATGTTTCCTTGTAGAGATTTTAGTAGATAGACAGACGTCCATTTGTGTTGGCCAGTGGGGAGTTTGGGATATATTTGTTGTAGGGTGTTACGACCTTGGTTTGGATCACATCTGGACCGGCAATGAACTGGGTAGTTTCGTTTGCATATATGATACCGCGCTGCGTGCATGGTAACTGCGCATCGTACAGGCTACAGTGTCTGTGTGAAAGCCTTCTCGTTCCAAAAATGCGTTCTTACTTCTTAAATTGACTACGTGACGAATTTTCTATTGTAAAATGCGTAACGTGCGTGCATACTGTCGCCCCAGTGAGCGCGAGAATCGAATATACGCGTTACCATTTTCGCTTACCATTTAAGACATCACCTCTTCCAAGCTATCCACGAGCTTTCACTCTGTTTATTTACGGAGACGTATGATATTACAGTGGTCCCCGCTTTATCGGGACGGGTCGGGAATCACGAAAATGTCCCGATTAAGCGGTGAACACGTAACTACGCGCGTGAGGATTGTTTTTCAACAGTATATGTCGTTTAAGCGATGTTCCGAGACTCGATAAAGTGGGGGACCACCGTACTACCGTGCCAAGCTACATGTGTGTGTATTTCTATATGATCATACACTCACCGTTTACCGGTGTTTAGACATTTAACTCACCAGCGCTTGCTAAGTGATCGTAAAAACGTTGACATCATTAGCATAATATATGCATGCATTATGCATCGAATTCATCTATTATGTATTCACATTCATCACTCCTGTATGCACGCGTGGTCAGTCGTGTATCCCGCTGCAATAATTAATGTGCTACCCAATTTGTTTGTATATATTATATATTTGTTTATATATATTAACGGGGCATTGCTACATTAGCTGTTCACTGTCTAAACACACGCGCTTTGATTAGTATTGTACAAGTTACTCTGTAGCGGGAGACTATACCCTTAATTATGCAGAGCGTCGGGCGGATCAGGGTAATGCTTTAATTATCTTCCTCAAACGAAGAGTTACTATTCTGGGCGTAGACACAGGTGATCCTTTATCTTTATCCCGCTCGTAGAACAATGCAGCCGCATCCATTGCTTACTCGCTCTATTCATTACTGCCTAACAATATACAGGGTATTTACTAATTAGCTGCGTGGACCCGGTTTCTCTGGGCACGCATGCATATTGGGGCGAAAGTGAACCGTTGCTTGGCCGGTCGTGTGTGCAAGGAAGGAGTGAGTGGAGTGAGTGGAGTGAGTGGAGTGGCCACGCACCGTCAAGTGCACGCGAAAGTGTGAAACTGCATAAGAGGCCAACAGCGAGTAGGCCCTATACGCATCCAGATAGGATAGCAAGTACGTGAATGGAGATACTACTCTATATATAACTATAATATACTACAGTATGTAATATATACACGTATATATTTATCTGTATGTGCGTGCGTGCGCTCGCGCGGGCGTGTGCGTGTGTGTGCATGCGTGCGTGTGCATGCGTGCGTGTGTCTGTGCATGCGTGTGTGTGTCTGTGTGTGTCTCTGTGTGTATGTGTGCGTGCGTGCGTGTCTGTGTGTGTAGATAATAGTTATACTGCTCTATTCGTGTACTCCTGGTAATAGCACCCTAAAATAAAGCTACACGCGTGCGTTAGTTGTGTAAGATCTTCCTGATCTTATGTAATAAGGTACGCTACGCACGTGGTTTCTATCTGGATGTGTGTAGATGAGCGCGTGTGTGTGTCTGAAATGTATTTACCCGAGAACTGAGAACTGAGAATAGCACGTGCATCCATCATTAAAAATAACGCGATGCAGCGCTTGCTGCATGAGAGAGAGGAACGATAGACAGACTAAGAGAGAGAGAGAGAGCAGGACAGAGAGGAGAGAGCGATAGACAGAAGAGAGAGGAGAGAGACAGACAGTAGAGAAGGGGGCGGGGCGGGCGAAAGGGGGGGGGAGAAGAAGAGCGATAGCGACAGGAGAAAGAGAGAAAGAGGAGAGAGAGAGAGAGAGAGAGAGAGAGAGAGAGGAGAAGAGAGCGAGAGAAGAGGAGAGAATGAAGCATGAGGAGAGAGAGGAGAGAGCAGAAGAAGAGAGACGAGAGAGGAGCAGAGGTAGAGAGAAGAGAGAGAGAGAGAGAGACGAAAACGCACACGCACACGCACACCGCACCACACACACACAACACAATCACCACACACACACAACACAACAACACGCACGCAACACACACACACACACACACACACACAACACACCCACAACACACACAAAATACGACGACGACGACGCTTGGGTTAGAGTAAACAGTGTCAGAGCCGAGGAAAGATATAACACTTTCCATGTGGGAATGTGTGTATTGGGGCCACACCATGCATTAGCGACGTGCCTCTGGGCATGTTACTATCCGTTGCAGCTGCAGCGAGACAGAGCAGACGCCTGAGTTCTTGTATTCGTGTTTTGCGAGATGCTATAGAGTATAGAGCTTTCTTTGCTCGGCGAGTGAATCGCGATTTCAGTATTTAAAAAACGAGGAAAATAAGGCGAGTGGGAAACACTAAAGCTATTGAAATATAACGGGGCGTCATCGATCACATTTAATTTGAATCTATGTCGCCTTTGCTGCTGTGTTGTCTGCTGCGTGCTGTTAGCCGGTGGTGTGTGTGTGTGTTGGTGTGTGCTGTGTAGTGCGTGTATATGTTGTGTGTGTTGTGCGTGTGTGTGCGTGTGTGGTGTCTGTGCGTGGGGGTCTAGTGGGTGGGTGGTGCGTGCGTGGCTGTGCGTTGCGTGTGTGTGAGGTGTGGCTGCGCGCGCGCGGCGCGTGTGTGTGTGTGCGTGTGTGCCTGCGTGCGTGCGTGTGCGTGCGTGTGCGTGTGTGTGTGCGTGTGTACGTGCGTGCCAAGGTCTTTCTCGTGATTAATTACGCGTACACGTCTACGTACATATTCCGAATTTAACGGGTTTTTTATGTATATAATATAAAATAATTAAAGCTCGAATTAATAATAGCTGCTTAACAGCTAATAAAGTTCTCCTGCCTAAAGTCGTGACTAAACTCACCTCGTCTAAAGTTCTGACTCAAATCGTATTCATCAATGCATTCACGATTCTTTAAATATGAGTTATATGTGCAGTTAGAACTCTAAGTGTACCCATTGTATCAAGAGTGTATGCTGTTAGAAAACCTTCGTTCATGATTATATTGTTGTCCGTAGAGTAGTACTTAGTTGTGTCCAGTGACGGGGGCCCGGTGTCAGTAACAAAATTCCTCCTAACTTTAGAATTAACTTTTCATATAGACCGCTGACAGAAAAATCGTAAAGTTACGAGAATAAAAAAAACCTTATCGAATCTCATTACAACTTTACGAAACAAAACTCTGTCAACGGTAGATGAGAAGAAAGGGTAGTGTTAGGAGACTAATTTTGTTTCTCACAACCGGCCCCCGGTTCCCAGCCGGTATACCTAAAATTATCACCAATCTGTAAGCTGCTACCTGGCCATTATGCTAAACAGAAAGTGGCAATCATGCAAATACGGTGAGACTCTAATTGTAATGCTGTAGGGGCACTCATCTGTAATTTACCCTCTCAATCGCACACAGGAAATGCCTGGAATCTAACAAAGAATGGTCTGTTTTAGTTGGCCACTGTATATCCTGACCATTATATATTATAAATGCGAATGAAACATGACAACATAGTTGCGAACATGTATAGGATTGGTGTAGATTAGCATACTTGACCACTAGTTGTTCTTTTATATACTACTATTGTAATCGTGGGTTAAACACTATACGTATGATAATTTCCTATATTGAAAATAGCGTATAGGTGATCTATAACGGATTATATTCGCCATGTTGACAGGGCGTCCTTGTATGCTCACCCTTATTACCTCCGCCCAACGGAGTTGGAGGAGGTTATGTTTTCGCTCTCGTGTGTACGTGTGTTAACGTGTTCGTGTGTTCGCGCGATCGATATTAGCCGTCGAGTCAAGCCAGCCAGCCAGCCAGCCACAGCCAGCTCCAGCAGCAGTCAGCAGCAGCCAGCAGCGAGCGGCGAGCCAGCTCGTAAGACATACATGTTACATGGGAGCGTGTACATGTCAGTACGCTGGCGTATATCGTGGGTTATTCGTGTGTTCGTGAGTCGTATGGCGTATGGCGTATGTCGCTGGCGGAGGTATGCACTCCGTGAGTGCACTCGATCTAGTTAATAAATGCTATCAACACCTCATCACTCATAATACGTGTTACGATCAGTTGCATACGCTTGCCGTATTCAGGCCATCCAGCACATATTATTTTCACTGTAATAGTGCACGTCTAAAAGCTATATTTTACATATTTATACGTGATTATATCGATATGCATAATATATAATTATGGGCTCGATTCATGGCGATGTAAATGTGACCGTGGCCGCTCCCACGGATCATTGCAATTGTATACACCCAGTGAGAAACGTTCGGTTTAAATATATATATATATCGGTAAAGGATTTAAATACAGGATCAAAAGCCATAACAATAGCTCCCTGCGTAAAGTATCGCATTTCATGCGTGTTTGAATTCCTCTGCGCGTTTATTTTGCGCAATTCATGTATTGTTGGGATTGGGAAAAATATTTTCCAGCAAAATAAATCGCGACAGCTTATACGTAGAGAACGCTTACAGAATGTTTACAATGCTAGCTCTCGCTCTTTCTCTCTCTACGCTCTCTCTCTCTCTCTCTCTCTCTCTCTCTCTCTCTCTCTCTCTCTCTCTCTCTCTCTCTCTCTCTCTCTCTCTCTCT